TTAGTCATACACAAACTTGTAGATTCAACGAGTACCAAGAACATACCTTATGAAGTATCCATGCTCGGCTGCTATACCTAGATTCCCGCACTGAGTAAACCAATCACTCAACGATTTGCACCCTCTACCACTAACTATAAACACAGTGTTTTTAGGATCACTGCATAGATTGTTCAAAACAGAGATGACTTCAGGACTGGGGGCTTTGACAATGGAAGTTTGGGGCACCAATGTCCCGTCATAATCCAAGAATATTGCCCTTCTGCATGTCCTCTTATAAATGGAGACCATATGGTTGAGAGGGAGCTTCTTAAAACTCGGAGAAAGAGACAATATCCTGAAATTCAAGCCAAAACCAATACTGCAGCAACACTTACTGTAATGATCTTTGCACGCTCGCTCCAAGTCCTGCATAAAACTTCGAGCCCAGTATGCAACATCATGGGAACTAACGTACCTATAGTGTTTCTCATGTCGTAACTGCTTCTCTACATCAGACATTGAAATGGCAACATCTAATGCTTCAGCTACAGCATCAATATCCCATGGATTGACCCTAATTGCTCCACTTAGAGATGGAGAGCAGCCTATAAACTCTGAAACAACAAGTGTACTTGTATGGGGTGATCCCAAGGCAATCCCTAAAGCTTCATCCACTGTCGGAGTCCCCTGCCTAGAGACAATGTAGTTGTAGGGCACTAGGTTCATTCCATCCCTAACTGCATTCACAATGCAACATTCTGCTAAAGCATAATAGGCAGTCTTCTCATGGAGAGAAACCGGACGATCAACGAGTACCGCAGGTTCATACCCAAGAAGACCGAAATTATCATTTATCCTTTTGGTTATCTCATAGGTTTCCTTTCTTGCTTCCTGTACATCTTTCCCTGTGCTCCTTGCAGGATTTATAATTTGAACCAGGACAAGTTGTCCCCTAAATTCTGGATGCTGCTGCAAAAGCAGTTCCATTGCTAATAATTTCAGACTAATGCCTTTGAATATGTCCATGTCATCAACACCAAGAATAATCTTTTTCCCTCTGAACTTTTCTTTGATTTCTTTGACCTTAGCAGAAGAAGAGGGGTGATTTAATGCAGATTCAATCTGGCCCATGTGAATGCCTACTGGACAAATCTTGATGTAGACAGTGCGACCAAAATATTCAAGCCCGATGTGTCCTCTCTTCGATTCATAGTTCAGGCCCAGCATTCTGCTGCAACAAGAAAGAAAATGCCGGGCATAATCAAATGTATGAAAGCCAATTAAATCTGCATTCAGCAGTGCTTTCAAAACTTCATCTCTGACAGGCAGAGTTCGGTAGATTTCTGATGAGGGGAATGGACTGTGAAGGAAGAAGCCTAGCTTAACTTGATTGAAATGCTTCCTCAGGAATGTGGGAAGAACCATAAGGTGATAATCATGAACCCATACGAAATCTTCTTCAGGATTTATAACCTCCATGACCTTATCAGCAAATATCTTATTAGCAGAAACATATGCCTGCCAAGACGATCTGTTAAAGCAATTACCATAGTCTGGGCAAATGGGCAGCATATAATGAAAAAGAGGCCATAAATACTGCTTACAGAACCCATGATAGAACTTTTTTTGAAGGTCAGGAGGAAGAAATGTGGGCACACAATTAAATTCTTCCAGCAGTGTCTGGGAAACTTCATCTTGTTCGCTTGCTTTTACATCAACCTTCAGAGAACCCACATAAACAACATCAACATCAGATAAAAAGCCATCCCTCATTTGCAATAGAAGTGAATCCTGATCAAGACTAAAGAACCATTTTCCAGATTTTGAATCCTTCCGGGAATTTAGAGGTAGAAAATTTGCCACTATAATTCTCTTCTTACGACTTTCAGTTAATGGGCTGTGTGAATCTCCAATGTTGCTTCCATCTCCATGTACATCAGAAATAAACCCAGGAAAAGTCATAACACGAGGAAGCGTTCCCGGAGTTTGATGGAAATCGGACATGTCTTCGGATGCTAAGTCAAAAAAATTTACACAAGATCTTAATAACATGCTTGGCTGCAAGTACTCTTATGCTTAACCAAAGTGTGGGAACAGCTCCAGATAATCCAGGTATAGTCTTTCATGGAAGATCTTGAACCAAGTACCTGTATTAGAAAGACAGAAAGAGATGTTATAATTATCATGTTGCAGGACGATATTGCTGAACCCACCATGATTTTGAGATTATTGGTAATCAGAAAACTTTCAAATAACTTGAAAAGAAAAGAGCAACATTGTGGACAGAAGAATATTTCATTCTAAAATGTAATAAACACTTCTGACGGAAAGCTTTCGAGTTTTTTCCTGA